CAGATTAACACATTAATTTATTTTCTTGTATAACTGTGCTCATTTCTAAGATTTTTTTAAAGTTTCACCAGTCACTACTGTCCATGAACAATCTGCTGTTGGTCTTTAGGAAATGGCATAACTAAAGTCACCCAAGCAATATATGCAGAGGTGCAAGTAGGGCTATGAAAAGGGTGGAAAATGGAGGGGGAAAACAACTAAAATGCTTACACAAATTCAGAACAGGCATCTAGGAAGGTTACTGAGTTTTGGATGGGTTATTCTTATTGAGTGCTTCATATAAAGACTTTAAAAAAATGAGATATTGCTTTATCATGAAACTGGTGAAGCATACGTGAATGTGGCTATTCTTACAGGCACATATAAGACCCTATTCAATAACACATGAACTTGACCCTTCTTAACGTCGGCCAGCCTTTCTTAGTAAACAGGTTTAGCTAGGTAGTGACATTATTGAAAAATTACAACTCTGGAAATGGAGAAAGAATCCAACAAAGTCACCAAAAATGAAGTTTGTAAATGAGAGAAAGATCCTGCGCAAATACCACTGATTCCTTGCGCACCATGCATTTGAAATACACCAAAAGATGTCTGGAGACTTAGTATGGGATGGGAATAAGACTGCTGAAGATTAAGGAGTGGTGAGTGGGATGTCTTTGTGGGTGCACTGTCCCAAAATAGACCGACTGTGCCAGCCGTCATGTGACCTACATGTATACTGGGTATCAACCGCTTACCCATTTTTTGAGTGTCAATACAGCCAGTTCAATAGTACCCAGCACATTAGTAGTTCAAGTATGGTACCTACTGTCACCTTTATTTTTGGTAAATCGTACTTATGAAACATTTCTCTTTGGTGGACACCACGTTTGTTGATATTTAATACCCACTATAGGTCACGTGACTAAGCAGGTGCAATCGGTCTATTCAAGGCAAATTTTTTGCCAAGCCACAGCACTTAAAAAGTACCTCTACATGTTCTTTGGAGATGAGGAGTTCGTGTGGCTCAAGTATATAGCCAAGGATCAACTCCCTAGAATCAGGGGCTCCCTTCCCAGGGCAACTGAAGCAGACAAAAATGCTTTTGAAAAATTGTCCGAAAAGCCTGAGAAAGTGGAATGATGTCATTTGAAAATGGCTACTGACAGGCTAGGGAATGTTAACTTTTGTGGGGAGGGATGACTTTTATTTTGGCAGATAATTAAAAATCTAATTGGTTAACCTACTAAATTTGAAAATCAATTGAAATCTGAAGGACCCAACACAACATTTCTTTTGTTTTAGAGGCCACAGGGACTTCAGTTGCCCCCTATGGGGCTCCAAACTTGGCTGATTTTACACTGTTTTCAATGGGGCTTGAATTAGTGCAGTGCAGCCTTGCAGTACCAGCCTATACATGTATGGTCTGTAGACCCGAAGGTACTCTCTATACATGCTCCTAATGAGACTCAATGGTGGAGAGACTGGGAGCAAGTTTTATTTCTCAACTTGATATATTTCTGAGACTTGATATATTTCTGGCGATCAATATACTGTGGAACTACTCTTATCTTGCTGCCGACAATAAAGTGGCATGCAACAGTTACATTTCATTACACATTTACTTTGTGCAGCATTTTGATTTTTGCGTTACATTCATTTAAAATGCCATTTACATAATTACATTTTTAATTTGTGTTTATATTTGTCTCATTCATATTTGTCTGTTGTATTTATATGTTCCATTTGTATTTACATTTATAGTAAGTGCTTATATTTTTCATTAATGTTTATATTTTTCGTTTGTATTATTTTTTTGAATGTAAAGAAGCCTGTAATTGGTTTCTTATAAAAATGAATTATTCCTATCCTTGGAAAGCTTGTTTTATGTCATGGGCTTTAAGACAAACCTTAATATTTATATCCAGCATATTCGCATATCCTGAGACCCCCAAACAGTCCCAAACCAGATGCAAAAAATGAAGTTGTTTAACTTGAAAGTTGCAAACCCAACAGGCCACAGATGACCGGAACATGACACCCATGTACATATATACATGGCAGCTCTGTGGTTTGCCATGTGTCCAGTAATATGGTGGTCATATTGCTTGCTCTGTGGTCTGCCAAGATACTGTCCCATGGTTGATACTGTGAAAATAAATGGTGACTTGTTTGCCATGGTTTGTGCGTAAGCAGCCCAATTCTCTTCCTATGGACAAAAAGTAGCAGGGACAACCTTGGACAAGGCTAGGACAGAGTGAAATAAAAATATGCCAGGCACGATTTCTGTTCATTCTAGTTTCCTGGAAGGGACTTAACAATTATTGATTATTATAGTACAGTGTGAGCTACATGTATGTTTCAACATTCAAGGTAAAGGTACTCATAGCAATCAGGGCAAAGCAGAGGGTGCTATGCATCCTCCAACGTGCTGAAAACTATATAACTCATATCACAACAGTCATTCATTTGTGATATCTCTATCATGAATTTTGTTGCAATATCTTCTGAAGTGTTTAAGAATGGATTCATAAATACCTCAGACAGTCTCCCTATTCAACAACGTGCAACTTGACCGTGTATTAACATTTGATAATGCCTGCTGAGAAGTGATAAATGCCCACTGCGTAAATCATGCACCTGGCACCTGGATACAAGACAGCTTAATCGATTCTGATTGGTCAAGAGACTGTGTACACACAGCTCATCACATGCCAGCAGGTTTTACATGAGAAAAGAGCATGAATGCATTTTCATCCCTTCAAGGACTCATCAACCACATGATTAAACAATGAATCGAAATGAATGCAGGTATGGTTAGTGAGTTGAACAGCACTCACTGGACGGAAAAATGGTTACCGTCTCTCTAGGTATGATATTTTTGCACAATTAGTTTGAATGGATTTGTTCATTCAGAAGTGAAAGAGAATATTCAAGGTGTTGTCAGGTAATTCAAGTTTTAAGGACTGGTTGTCTTCTGTATAGCTGAGTTTGGCTTGGACAATGTTCCTCTTGATATGTTTGGCTACCTTGCAGGCAACTAAAGGAGGTATGGGGAAAACTTCCTTCAAAATTGGATTGCAGACACAAGGTGCCAGTGTTTTAGAAGAGCATTCTTGGTATCTCTGTCTTTCACATGGGGATTGTGCATCGCTGTAAAGATGAGGGGAAGTTCCATTTTGTTCTCCACTTTTTGTTCGTTGTGAATCATAGATTTTCATTGCCGAAAATCAATGGATGAATGGATTTATAAATTTCGGCTTGATTGTAGCTGGAATGTGAAACTTTGTGTTTTCCATCCTCATTATTAGTGTTTTCTGGCATATCTTACCTTTGATGAAGCCGTGGAATACGTGTTGTAGATGGGATGAAATTCTGTCAAGGTACTGAAATGTTTCCGTTGGTTTTGTGAATACTTTAGTATCCAGGGTACCAGTAGAATGAAAACGCGGACCTTTGAAAAGGTCCAAGTAGGTGATGAAAGTTTCGGATGCCTCAAAAGTGAATTTGAGGGTAGGAGGGTAGAATGCAATTGGTTCAGGTGATGAACAAAATGGGTGAAGGATTTGAGTTGGCTATTGAAGACCATGAGAATCTCGTCTCTGAATCTAGCCCAGAAGAGGATTTGGTCCATGGGGGATCAGAGATTTCCAATTAAAATTCATGAAGTGTTACATTGCAAGTTTCTGGTCTGGCTATTGAGCCCATTGTGCATCCGATTTTCTGTCTGAAGAATGTCCTCCAAACTGAAATAGTTGTAACCCAGAACAAGTTCTAAGAGAGTGCAGATGTAATTGGATGGGATTTGGTTCTGGCGTAGCTGAAATTTATTGTTTATACCGATTCAATGGCTTACATCTGGTGAATGTTGGTGTACATGGAGACAACATTGATGCTTGCCAGAGGTGAGTTTGGGGGGAATTACTCCTTTTCTACTTTCTGCAGCATGTCCGTTGTGTCGCAGACATACTGGGCGGATGCTATTGGAAGGACATGATGCACATACATGTACATGGAAATTTTGGCTGTTGGACTTGTGCAACCACTGATGATTGGTCTGCCGACAAAAGGCTCATCAGGTGACCGTGCGGGCATTTTATGTATTTTTTGGAAGAAAATACATGGTTGGGCAGGCGATTTTTTGCTCAAGTGGGTCAATATAGGCAAACGTGTGTTTGTCATATGCATTTGTTTTTAACATGTTGGTAAGGACTTAGAAAACTTTGAGGGAGTTTTTACGGCTCATGTCCCTGTCTAGTTTTTCCTAGTGGTGGACGTTTGAAACCAATATTCAAATAGTCCTCTTGGTTCATGATACAAATGCCTCAGCCTTTGTCGTAGGGTTTGATGACAACAGAGCTTGAGTTTGTGAATAGCTTCCAGTACAGCTTTGGACATATTAGGTTGAGTGTTTGTCATTCTGACATGGGCTAGTTCCATCATGGTGGCTTCCAAATAATTCTGGTTTTGGGTTGGCAGGTGGATGGAAATTTGAAAGGCCTTTCCATAGCCAACTCAAATCCTTCATCCATTTTGTTCACCACCTGAACCAATTGCATTCTAACCTCCAACCCTCAAATTCACTTTTGAGGCATCCCAATCTTCCATCGCCTACTTTCAAAGGTCCGCATTTCCATTCTCCTGATTTGGTTTTAAACCCATGTTTAAGACCACCCAAGCATATATATTCCCTTATTTAATCCAGAATTGCCGACACAAATAGTTCATTTACAAAAAATGAACATGCTCCAAAAGCTGATTCTATGCCAGTGCACTTATACCACTGCAGTTCACCATTCTATTATCAACTTAACAATTGAAAGTAGCCAAAACATGAATACGAGTAGCCTGGTTTATAGTGGCCCCAACATTATCATTTGGAACTTCGGGTGCCGACTACTTTCTGATCTTATAAAGTGATAGGCACGAGGGTGAGAGCAGTGTACATTTGTGCTGATCATTCTGGCCAATAAAAATACAGTATTGAAGATAGGACTATGTCAAAGCATATACATACTTACTTGACCACCAATTAAAAATGATGATCTCATAGCTGCTGGTACTATCCGCTGTGTTTCAATAACACTTAAACTAGATGGTGCCACAACACGAGGTGAAGTTTCAAGGGAAAAAGTGTCTCTTGGGGACTTTGTTGTATCAGCCTACAGGAAATAGAAAAGAAAAAGGACCCATCCAATTCAAATTACTCTTTAATTCTTCTATTTCCACTTTTATCTTTTTCAATTCACTTATAAATACAGAAGTCATGTGAGGAAGAATGAAAGGGTTAACATTAATCTACATGTACATGTGAAACTACTGCAAGTTTGGATCACAACTTCCTGATGAAGCTACAAAGGTATTCAGGCAGGATGCAGAAACTGAGAAAAAGAGGAAGATGCATTAGGGCAATTCCATGATTAATTTCATTATATTTTAAGCACTGTTGCATGACTGTTTGGGACCCTACATCATCACTTGTTGGGATCAGTTCTCCATTTTGGAACCATCAATGCAGGTTCCCTAATACAGCCATTAGGAAAATTTGGAGTCTCTTGTTTTGTGATGTGTAATTTGACATTTAGTTTTGGTTAGTTGCATTACAAAAAATGGACAGGAAGAAAACTCATCAGTCTTTGCAAACAGTTTTCCCTGAAGTTGGGTTATGCAGGCTTAAATCATGGTATTTTGGTAATTGCTTACTGAATAAAAAGGTTCTGACAGATATCTGATACATCATGGATTGGGCTACAGGTTTTTATGACTACAGTACTTTTGTTAATCTTGAGCAGAATATACATGTACACTTCTTGTACACGTGCACAGTGCTCAATGGTGTTAGCCAAAACTGGAACATTTGCCTCACCACAGTGTACATGTGTGTTCACGTATGAGCCTTGCTGGAAGTAGTCAATCCTGTACACTGCTTTCTGCTACCGTGATTGATTTTTATTGTGAAATAGTAAAGTTTTAGTTGGCTCACTGTACCTTGCTTACGAATGTGCATAACTTGAAGTTGATTCCTTCCAATAAAAAGACTACTATTGACAAAACAAGGTACCGTCAGGACAGAACGTTTCACTGCAGTTGTCAAAACTTGGTTTGCTTAGAAAAGTGACCAAGTGACTGTCACCAAAAGTTGGTGATTGAGAACTCACTGGAAGTAAAATCATGAAATAAAATAAAGGTTTCCTTGAGTCATAGAAATTTCACATGACATGTACATGAAGGTACAGTTACACTGGTTCCTGTTGGTAAAATCCTCCCCAAAAGCAGTCTGGGATGAGTCTGTTAGCATCACAAGGGATGGTGAAGCCACAACGAAGCAAAGAGAAGACTGTAGCAATGCACTTGAGTGTTACACACAGAACTGATGGAATGAAGGGCATGCACATAGGCAAATAACTCTTCCCAACTGAAAGGGAGGACGACTGACACCAAGGCTTTTAGTTGAGGGAACTTGGTGCAGAGCCTCAGCGGCCAAACATTCTCTGTCATGGACAAAGACAATATATGAACTGTCGAATATCTTGAAGAATAACTCGGCAGTTTAGTGAGGCAGAATCTGCTTTGTCGGGATAATCTTACTCTGAGAGTGCACATCTGCAAGAGAGTTGTAATGTTGGCAGTCACGTTATGGGTTGCCTTCAGTTTAATCCCAGAGCCCGATGCCCAAGGGGACAATTAACTGATCGAACAGATTTACCCTAGCGGATGTGCTGCAGGGACGCATCATGCTGGATGATGCCTGTAGTTCTAGATGCTGAAGGGAATTCCCTATAACTGAGACCGGTAAGGTCAGGAGGGGAAATACCCCATGAAATCTGAACAGGTTACAAAAGTCGTCACCTAAGGATCTATCTTTGGGAGAGGGAGGTCGTAAACCAGATGGTTTCACATCAACTGCCAGCGAAGTTGTGATCCTTTGTAAAAACTGGGAGATCGATCAGGTCACAATTTTAGTCAGAAGAAGTAAGTGGACAGGAGGGGCCTTAACATGAAAACAGTATTACAAGGTCCACCAGACCAATCATCAGGCCGGGGAGGAGTTGTGTTGTGAGCCAGAGCCCAAGAGGGTCAGGGACTGTACCTAGATCAATCAGAGCTTGGGCCAGATCTCAATATTCCTGAATGACGAAGAACAGCAGATGGCAAGCTCGTAAATAAGGCTAGTATCAACTGCAGTCTTGCCTGGGTAACTGTCTACGCCCAGTTAGCAATCGAAGTATTAGAATGTCAGAATGACAAACTGGCGAAGGTAGATGGCGACAACTTCTGCCATTCGGGTAAAATCCCTTGGGACGTCGAGTGATCTAAAGGCAGGTTGAATCCCAAAAGTTCTTCTGGCATACATGAATCAGAGGAATGTGTAAAAAAATAGATGGACTAAAGGTGTAGAAGTAAGCAATTCTCAGATCAATCAACGACAGCCAGGATAGAGTCAAGAGGGGTGGAGACACTGTGGAGTGCTCAGGATACCCCCCTGCAGAACTTCTCAGGGGCGAATTAACCTCCTTTTTTGTCTCCAATGCGCGCTTATTTGATCGTTCCGAGGGATTGGAGTTAGGTGAAGAATTTGGTCAGATGGAGGGGAACTCATAAATCAGTTGAAGACAGTTGCGAGAACCCATCTGGCTGATGTGAAGACTTGCCAGAACCTAACATCAAGTGGTAGGCTGTCCCTAACACAGTGCCCTTTGTATTATTTGCGTTGGTTGTGTACTGGGTGAACGAGTGAGTTGGCTCGGTTTAATAACCTACGATTTCATTGTTTCTATGAGTTGTCACCCAGATGAGTCTTTCCATAAAGAAGGAGAGGGAGAATTTTGGCTTGCACGCCCTCATACAGGATGTTCATGGCTGTAAGTGCATTAACTCTACCAGTAGACCAAGACAGGTGAGAGATAAGTAAGAACTGCTTGAAGGCAGAGTTGGCATTCTCATCTAGCACCAAAAGAGTGACTGCAGTATGATCTGGAGGGACAGCAAACTGGTGTTTTTTTTCTTCAGGAAAGATACTCCAATAAGGGTGAAATAAAAGGCCACCGAATGGAGACTGCAACAAGAGGCCCTATTCAACTGGGTTACGGTATTAAAGCTCAAGGTTGGATTTGTCCTTGTTGGGGAAGACAGCCCTTGCTGGAAGAATTAGCTGAGCCAGGCCGATTTTGTCTGTAACAGCAGACCCAAAACAGGAAACCTGTTTGTGGAGCAGACGAATACGATTCTGGGATTGCGTATTGGTTAACAGCAGAGACTATGCCTTTGTCCCCAGCAGACCCATTGTGAGGATCAGGATAAGTCTGGACTGGGCCCTGTTGTGAATCTTGAGAGGGATTGTGTGAGGGTTAGGAAGAAGGTAGATTGTCTGTTGTGTTATGCAAGCCTGCGATGACAAGTGCTGTATCTGCACTGGACAGGGAAGTCCCAGATGGTGGATGTGGAAGTGGATTGATTAGAAGAGGGCCAGAATCCAGAGCTGAAAACGAGGGGTGTAACCTTCAGATCAAAGTGGCTGACCAGCAAAGACAGTGACTCAGATTGGGCCTTGAAGTTGAGATGATAGTTAAGAAGGAGAGGTGTGATGTTTGGCAACTTTCTACAAGATGACCAAGTGGAAGAAGATGTGGAACGTTTATGCTTCTTACACAAAGTTTGCGGAAAAATTTGCAGGCGAGGCCGGATGTCAGACAGGGCTGCACAGGCGGGCAAGAACGGCCAAACTGTGGATCATTGAGGTGTTTGGACAAATGCAGCTTCCTTCACTGGGATTAGGCATGTACATGTAGCAGACGTCTGAATCGATGATTGAATTTTTTACTTGCTTCCCCACAGGTTTTGGTGAGCCTGCCGGTAGAAGTGGGAGACATCTCGGTAGATAACCATGAAAGAGCCAAGTTGGATCTGTATTCTGACAGCCCATTCTAGTGAACGAAAGGGGTCGGCTCAGGGAGCGCTATTATTTGGTCCATGCCTGAATGCCTACGCTGAAGAGAACTTGGACGTTGGTGGGCTTAGGCGTGTAGCCACCATTTAGGTCAAAGGGTGAGGCATGGACTCACCTCCCACAGGCCTCATTGAGCCCTTACTGGTGGTGGAGAGCTTGAACACATTAAGGCTCTCTGCGTATTGCATGTGGGCATGGCGGGGGAGCGGGAGGGATCGAGTTGACGTCAGCTCTGTCGATGGCCCTGCATCTCAGTGGACGATAGTGGGGACTTGGAAAAGATCCATAGACTAATGAGGCATTCACTGCGACAGCCCCAGAAAGTATGGGGAGTTGGCCCACTAGCGCTATTCTCTATTTCATGTCTAAATACCCTAGCTGAAAAATTCTCAGTCAATGGACAGCTGGTGTATAACACGCGGGCAGAATCTGTTGTGCGTGTTGCGGTCTGCCTGCATGGCCGAGCATTGTATCCTTCGGGGCTGTCCGGGGTGTCAGTGGAGGAGTGGCCTGGGAAGTTGTAGTGTTCGAGTCACGCCCAGGTGCCTCCGTTGAAAAAGGGTCTAAGGGCAGTGGCTCATACCATGAGGTGGTCGGTGTGGCTGGCATGTGGCAAACCCTCTGTGAGCCTTTATTAGCCATATGCCGGTTGAGTGGGGTATTCTTCGGTAGGCACTGTTGGAATGCGGGGAGTCTCAAGAGACCTTGTCATCCCAGTAGTGGCACTGGGACAGCTGAGCGTTCTGACCCCACACACCGCAGCTCAGTCCCTTGTACGCAGTTAGAGTTGGTGTTGGCTAATGCCGGTTCTGCCCAGAAAGGAGCAGGACAAAGCAGACCATTGCCAGTAATCATGATCATCAGATTATGACCTTAAATCCTTGATCTTACTGCTGACCGACTGCAGTTGGTGTGGGGGAGAGTTAAGGACCGCTAAATGCATTAAGCCCTTATATGTCTCAGGTTGCCAGATTGATCATATGTAATATCACCAGGTGATACTGCTACCTTTCAGATACAATTAAGAAAGACTGTTGCTACAGAAAAAAATGAGGTAATGACCTTTCAAAGGTCAAAGCACGAAGCTTCTTCAAAAGTTTCGCACTTCTGACATGTACGGTTAACGTACATACATACGCACAATAGTGTGTGTACACTGTCTACATCATGGCCACGGCAAGATGAAGATCATTTTAAAAGGTCAAAAGTCGTACGTATAGGGGCCAAATGAAGAAACAAGTCAATTACTGGAAACAAGTTTTTTATACTCTTTCAAATAAATAAACTTGCTGCACAGTAAAGTGAACAGGAAGAGCAGTATTTTTTTGATGTCTGAGGAATGTTGTATACCAATGTGTTTTTCACAACATTCTCCAGTGAGCAGATGGCAATAAAATGTATATGTACAGGCGTTAATGGTTTAACAGTCCAATGAAAAACAGTTGACACATTTTTGACCCTGCAGAATGGTTATTTGAAAGCAATTGAGATGACAGTACCTGTGGTGTATTCCTCGATGGTGCTTGGTTTCTGTCGTGATACTCTGGCATATTGGTCTCATGGTGTGCCATAGCCGTTTTATTGGCAATGACCTCCCTCGCATGCTTGCCTTGTAATGTCAGCTGTTGTTCTAGAGCAGCTAACTCATCTAGACATGAGAGAAGACAGTAAGTACATCTATTCTACTTGGCTAAAGCACTTGACAAGCCATACTGAATTGACCTCATGCTTGGGGACATCCTTTCCATGGTACTGGTACCGGTAGGTTGTTTTCATCAAATCTGTACTCAGAGATGCCAGAGGGTTCAGTCCAGAGCCAGAAAATTTCAAAAGTGTGTAAAGTAGGTGTAAAGTACAGGAAAATACCGGTAAAATAAGTGTGCAGGGGATCTGACTAAAACAGGCTGCACATAATGAACAGCCCCATTTTCCAAAACTAAACTGTAAGGTTGAAAGACTATTGCCATTATTTTCCTTTCAAAATATAGCATGAACACTTGTTTTTTGTGTGTGACTATCAATGACTTACCAGCAATAGGATATATTTTATGTGGCAGCACAAGATGCACTGTGCGTTTAAGTGATCTTCTGTAAAACATGTGTGACATTAGTCCAATACATAACACATAAACAGCTCCATCTTCAGCATCTCTCCAGCGTTCTGATGACAGACGGAGCACGTAGTCCAAAACGTTGACTATACTCCCGGTTCTTTTCAACACCACACATACTCATAAGAGGTATATTCCTTCGCATGGTGCTACTGCAAGCCTTTCCACCTATTGAACTCAAATATGAGCCAATGCCTTGTTTTTGGTAAGCCCACAAGTCTGTTGCACTTTGAAGGTTTGAAAGGTCAAGGGTAAAGGTGACAGTGGCAAAATGTTTAAGACAAATCAAGTTGCACTTTGAAGCTCATGATGGTGAAGGTGACAAGTTTAGGTTTGCGGCAGCACCATGCAAGGATATCTCTTTTGTATGTGTGTCTCCTGAGGACAGTCAGAGCATGCTGTCTGAAACACTGAGTACCTTCCAGTTGTTTTCAGAACCGCACACACTCAGAAAAGAGAAATCCTTGCTTGTGCTTCCGCAAACCTTTTCATTAACTTAATCTTGTTTGTAATCTGAAAGTAAGGTTGTGGGTTAAGACATTTGCGTTTAACACTTCATTCTTGGTCAAATTAAACTCTACTTGTTTTAAAACTAACCTCTCTCCTGTTGCCATCTACGTCTCTTCCTTTCAGCTAAGCTGAGATGAGAAAATTCCAACTGACCTGCGACTTCCTTCTCCTTAGATCCAATCTGATTTGTACCTCCTGTCTTTTCATCTTTGGTGACCTCATCTTTTCTTTGTTTTTCTGTCTTAGGTCCTGAATCTTTCTTTGGTGAGTGTGATGCTGTAGTAATGACAACACTTGCTGGTGCTTTGCTTGGGGTTGGGGGTTTCGAGCTAAGCACAGGGCTTGGGGTTCTTGTCCCCAATTTGCCCAGCAAGGAAAGGATGTTTTCAGTTGACACTGGAGAGATGTTGTCTTCACATTCTTTCTTGGAATGCTCACTGTCAAACTCTTTGTCAGGTTTGGAATCCTTGGTAGAATCGCCTGGTTTGTCTTTTGGTGGTTCCTGATTAGGGGCATTCACCTTTACATTTCCATTTTCTGAATATCAAACAATAACAATATTTTGAAACACATGAACTTACAAGTTCATGAATCACGATTAACCCTCCAGGTTCAATACCACAGGAACAGTGCTTTTAAAGCCAACGGTTATTTGGATGAGACTTTCATCAATGACTTCTCGGTAACCTTGTCATGGTGCAAAATGTTCGAGCCATGTTTTAACTCAGCAGGACTACCCAGCATGCCTGCCACCATCACATTATTCACCCACACACACCACTAGAGGGTGTTCCATACATGTTGACAAACCTGACTTGTAGACTAACCACCCTGTGCAAAGAACCTTTGTGCGCTAGGTCTGGGTCGGCCCACTGTAAAGCGCTTTCTATCTGTTAAAAACTGAAGACAGTAATGCATCACTATCTAATACAACACCACACCAAGCTTGTCTTGTACCAAGACTGTGGTAACTTGATTTCATAACCACTTAACTGCTCACTTTGCTTGACCATGTATTGTTCTGGCCAAACTGCAAATTTCTCACTCAAGAAAGTTTAAGAATTGGAAAATGAAATCTACATGAACATTATTTGTTGTCATGGTTGGTTCTTCCTTTTTGGTGACCGCTTGGGTTCTAAATTCTTAACCAAGGTAAAAATGCACTATATTAAAAAGTACAAATACCAACTGATTCATCAGAAAATAAACACCATTAAGTCAAAACTTTTAACTTCAGACTCTGTAAGTAACTCTCTACATACAATTGAATCTTCAGTCTCCAAAAGTATCTCTTCTGAAATGGCAATGGCCCAATTTTTTAAAATAAATATTTAAAATACAAGCATCACAGAAGCATTGCAGTTGTTTTCGAATTCATTAAGAAATGAAACTAAAAACTTTCTGTACAAACTTTTTCTCTTATTCTCCTCTCTTACATGTCTCTTTCATGATTGTGTCTTTCAACAGTGGAAACACCAACTGTTGGAAATCGAAAAAAGAAAATTTTGGCCATCTTGAATGAAGGGAAGTAACTCTGCCACTCTTCCTTCCCTATAAAAACAGTGAGGCTACACATGCTTAATTTTTTACTTGGCCTCATATTCACTCAATAGTGAATTGGATACTTCCCAGTTTCAAAATGTTCATTTAACACTTACCTATTTCAATACTTGCAACTTTCTCACTGCCAGTTATTTGGCCGATGGACTTCAGTATTGCATTCAGCTGGTCTTGCGTCAGTGCTACAGTGTTAGTGTCCTTTGACTCTTCTTTTGTTTTCTCACTGAATTTTTGCACATTTTTTTTTACAAAATCTTTACTACTTTGCTTTCTGTTATAGGTGGTATCACTGGTGATGGTTTCCCTGCCTGATTTCAAGTCCTTGGCATTTGTGGAATGGTTCTTCTGCAAAGATGATTTTTCAGCTGTTGGTTTCTTGGTAGGAACTGGTTTGTTTTCAACCTCTGAATCTCGACCAGTGGTGACTTTCCGAATTGGAAATGCCTGAGACTTTTGTTTATATCCAAACTGTGGAAGAAAAACATTGCCACGAAATTGTATTTGCATTTAGAAGTACATGTAATACACAAACGTGTTGTTTTATCAACTACAATATACCACTTGGAAAGAGGTCAGATGGATCAATCACTTGTAGATTGAGTTTATCCATGGTATATCAGATGTTGTAGTTTTGCCTTCTACAGATTTTTCTCCCACATTTATCCTAAACAGTTTCATCCAAATGAATGTACTTTCTGCTGCAGAAACACACGCACTGTACATGCATATTTTCTTCCTGCAGCACGGAGGATGATTACAACTAATTTTAAATTGGCAAAAAATTCAAGTAAGACTTTTGAAAATAGAGTATCACATATAAAATACAATAGATGTTTTCAAATTATTCTGAGTCCGTGTTCTCATCATGTAACGTGTATTTACTGTATTCAAATTATTCTCAGTTCGTGTTTTAATCATGTAACGTGTATTTACTATATTTTAATCAAAAGCTTCAGGTGTTCCACTTTCAGACTGAGATAAAATTAACACATCCAAACATGTTTGGTTGAACACAATGTGCCAGTTCGGAATTCGAACAGCACATGCCCACAATGAAGTACAGAGGAGGTCATTTGAACATGCATAAGAGGTCTGCCCCATCAGTGTGGTCAGGCAGGTAGCCAGGAATCTGCCCTGTCTGCCATGGAAGCTTATATACATGATGTACGGCAGTGGATGCTCGACAGTAGATTACTTTTGAACGACAATAAGACTGAATTTGTGATGATAGGCATTCTTCAACAATTATCCAACGTAACCCTACAAGGTAGTCAGGCAGGGAATCTGTTGTTCCCTTATCTTTGGTTGCCTGAAATTTAGGTGCATGGTTCTATGCTAACATGTTGATGATAACCCACATTACTACAGTTTGTGGTAGTGCATTTAATTATTCACATAATATTTAAAGTATCAGCTTGTTGTGTAAAGCCCCAATCTTGTTGCTGTCTCTGCAGTTCCAGTGGTGGTGTTCTCCTTAACTACCCTGCGGGTTGGGGTAAGGTTACTCTAGTAGATCAAGCATTTGAATATAGTGCACCACATGTCTGAAATGCACTCCCACCTCACATCTGTTGGGCTACTAGTATTAGTACAGTATTTTCAAATCTGTGCCAAAGACTTGTCTGTTTAAGAGGGGATTCTATTGTAAGATTCATTTTGGTCAGTATCTGTAGATGTCTTTTGTGTCGTTTCAATTGTGATCATTGATGTAATGCCTGTACTTTTTTCATTGAAATTGTTGTAACGCACATGTAGTTTAGACTTTTACTTTGGGTTTTAATGCAATTTTATGGAGATTTTTCTGTCATTTAAATGTATAGGATTTCCATTATTGTAATGTGCTCGTGAACATACTCTGAGATCACGACATTGACTAGTAAGGTGGTACTCTTTCTTTTGGGATTTTGTATTAAAGAGCTTTCAGTGTAATAGCACTGCATTTTCTATGTAGATGTACAAGTTACCGGTACATGTATTTTTGATCAATGCAATGGAGGCACTAATTGTACAACTGTATGCTTGTACACTGGTAAGTCTGATTTGTCTCATTACAATGTTGTCTTTATTCTGATGAGCAACAAATAAATTTTCAACAGCCAGCAACCTTGAACTCTAACTCCTTATCAAGTTCACTACAATCACAAGAAAATACTCTGTCGAACTGAAAACATTCTGGTGACTACTCAGCATACAATATTCCACAGAAATGTGAAGCATTCATGTGACTTGATTTGTTAACTGCACACAATTTTTACATTTTGTGAAAACCAAAATAAAATTACACCTGTAAATGGAATATGAATCAGTGATATTGCCTGAGTAAAATTAAGAATAAGAAAGGTTTCGTTCTTAAGCATTTCGACAGCCAAAGTTCCTGTAAATTACACAGATAAAGGCAAAGTGTTTGTTGACAATACTTACTTCAGTCTCATACTAACCTTTTTATTTCTGTTGGGCTTTGTATCTGTAAGATATCAAAACAAGACACATAGGAAATGTGAAATGCTATGAAGTTACATTAATTCAAAGAAACTGCATAAAACACATGCAAAGATTTGCAATAAAAAATATTACTTACCAAATGTATTAAAATAACATAATAAAATATATGCATGTATTCATTTAAGGACAGCTGATAAATTTCAGATTTCACTTTTCATCTAAAATCTAACAGGGACTTGATTATTATGGTTCTGGTCATTTTACTGTATACAGTTGAACCTCTTTAAAGAGGTCACTCAGACTTTGTAGATTACCATCTTGTACTAGTAACAGGGACCTTATATTATCAGAAATGAAAACAATGAAGAGCAAAGTATCAGGAACTTCAAATTTCCTTGCTTTAAACAGAATGTTGTATTAACAGTGCTTAAGGAAAGGCTGGACCAGCTTTGTTTGAAATTTTAACAACAAATCTTCTGGGCCCTGATCATGACTGGCTTCCTCCGGCGAGGTCCAATACTATGCATAATGCAAACACCCTATATATTCCCAGGTGCTGAATGACAAGATACTAGTACAAGAACAGTGCAATTCCTTTTTTAACTAACCTACTGAACAAGAAGTGCTCATGCACTTTTAGTTTTAATTATACACATTTATACTGTAATTTTGAGATTCATTTGTGTAATTTTCTTCCTATTTTTGTAAACAAAATATCTAAGAATATAATCTAGTAACATTTTAGTATGGTTTTATATCCTTTTATATCTTTTTTTAATATTTGAAACTGTAATCATAATCTACACAATGAATGTGTTAACATGCTCTCAATTCAGCCTCTGGGCTGTGATGGGAAAGTGAAGTAAACCATAATAAAGAAGTTCAACTGTATGTCTATAAATAGTGACTGTAAGCAGTAACAACACCTTACATAAATGACATCAATTAAAAGACGTACCTTTAAAAAGGTAGATCCCAATTTGACCAGACTTCGCTTTTGCCGCAAATTTAGCTCCTTCACTGTGGAGATAAAACTTGTGCTATGATTAATGGAACTTAATATTTTCAAGCATTTTTATGTACTGGAATCATATGAAATGTATGCATGTACTACACCAATTACACAGATATGCATACTGTTTATCCCCAAAAGTGAGAGTTTCAACATAAAATTTCCTCAGCAAAGTCCAATTGCTAGACATGGGACAGGCTACAACTGCACCATGTAAATACATGTAATTATGTAGGATTCATGAATATTAATTCGGAAAAGTCCCGTGCTCTGCTGCAGACAGACATGGAATATCTCATATTTTTTCCCATTGACATAACACAGGAGTCATTCTACACATAACTCTGGCCCTTACTTTGGGCCAATTGCT